GCCTGTGATCTTTATGTGTTTCCCGCACTGCCCTTGCGATCTGCCCCTCCCTAACGTGTTTCGCCCCTGGGGCTTAATCATAGAGGTTTGTGTACTTGGAACCTAAAATAGTTGTGGATCACCGGGGCAGTCCTGCTGGCACTTAGAAGGTGGTGCTGGAAGCCTGTGATCTGCATGTTTCCCGCACTGCCCTTGTGATCTGCCCCTCCCTAACGTGTTTCGCCCCTGGGGTTAATCATAGAAGTTTGTGTACTTGGAACCTGAAATAGTGGTGGATCACCGGGGCAGTCCTTGCTGGCACTTAGAAGGTGGTGCGGAAGCCTGTGATCTTTATGTTTCCCGCACTGCCCTTGCGATCTGCCCCTGGCTAACGCGTTTCGCCCCTGGGGCTTAATCATAGAGGTTTGCGTACTTGGAACCTGAAATAGTGGTGGATCACCGGGGCAGTCTTGCTGGCACTTAGAAGGTGGTGCGGGAAGCCTGTGATCTTTATGTGTTTCCCGCACTGCCCTTGCGATCTGCCCCTCCCTAACGTGTTTCGCCCCTGGGGCTTAATCATAGAGGTTTGTGTACTTGGAACCTAAATAGTTGTGGATCACTGGGGCAGTCCTGCTGGCACTTAGAAGGCGGTGCTGGAAGCCTGTGATCTCTGCATGTTTTCCCACACTGCCCTTGTGATCTGCCCCTCCCTAACGTGTTTCGCCCTGGGGTTTAATCATAGAAGTTTGTGTACTTGGAACCTGAAATAGTTGTGGATCACCGGGGCAGTCTTGCTGGCACTTAGAAGGTGGTGCGGGAAGCCTGTGATCTTTGCATGTTTCTCACACTGCCCTTGTGATCTGCCCCTCTCTCACGCTTTTTCACCCCTGGGGATTAATCATAGAGATTTGTGTATTTGGAACCTGAAATATTTGTGGATCACTGCCCTTACAATCTGCAGCCGGTGTCAGCGCCATCTTAACGCCACCCCAAACGCAGGTCGCAAACACAGTACGTTTGCCTGCACCTTATCATATGGTGCAAAACGACCATACGACCTGGTTGCAGCGCGGTTCCAAAATTGGTGCATGCATGACTTTGGGGTGACGGCATGTGATTTGAGTCCATTCAAAATGAAGTTCGCCCGAAATGCGGCAAGATTGTGCAATGCTCAGTAAACTTCCAATCGTTGTAGACAAATCTTCCAATGATCTGGAAATGTTGATATTGATCCCCCGACTAGTGATTGGCGCAGGTTGCTCCAGCAACAATGACAGAACGAACCTGCAGCATCATAGAGGGAGAGATTTTTTTTCCATCGGCCTGAGATATCTGCGTCCCTCTTTCAGACATGCAGCACATATACCCGGGGATTAATGTACACAGCGGATGTTCACAACCCGGCGGCCCTCCATCTCCCCAGCAGCTTGTCGGTGACAGATTAGAGGGGTAAAGGTCTGCCATGGGAGGAGGTGATACAAGAGAGGAAATCACAGAGGGTGAGAGGGACCAGAGAGCAGGTGATGGAGACAGGGAATCCGCCAGGAGATGTGATGGCCAGAGACAGGCGCTCTGCGCAGACATTGATCCGATATGAAAAGCCACATTAATATTTACAAGTACAGGATACGGGGAACGTTATCACGAGATAATCATGGCTGCCATGTCCATCAACGTGACCTATCACTCCACGAGACGGCTCCGGGGTTATCTATAAAAATCAAGTTGTAGGATTGTTAACTCGATTATTATTTAGGTCAATCCCAGTCTCTGCACCACAGGAGCTGACACTCTAATGTCCCCCTACAGTCCCACACTATTATTATACATTTATAGCTCTGACATATACCGCAGCGCTGTACAGTCCCCTCCCCCACAGATCACTGAGTCATCTGCACCAGAGGAGCTTAGCTTACAGTCCCCTCCCCCACAGTCACATCATCAGTCTCTGCACCAGAGGAGCTTACACTCTAATGTCCCCTCCCCCACAGTAACATCAGTCTCTGTACCAGAGGAGCTTACACTCTAATGTCTCCCTTACCCTCCACAGTAACATCAGTCTCTGTACCAGAGGAGCTTACACTCTAATAATGTCCCCGCTCCCCCACAGTCCCATCAGTCTCTGTACCAGAGGAGCTTACACTCTAATGTCCCCCATCCCCCACAGTCCATCATGTCTCTGCACCAGAGGAGCTCAGTCTCTGTACCAGAGGGAGCTTAATGTCCCCTCCCCCACAATGTCCCCACTCCCCCACAGTCACATCAGTCTCTGTACAGAGGAGCTTACACTCTAATGTCCCCCTCCACCCACAGTCCCCCAGTCTCTGTACAGTAACATCAGTCAGTCTCTGTACCAGAGGAGCTTACGCTCTAATGTCCCCTCCCCCACAGTCCCATCAGTCTCTGTACCAGAGGAGCTTACACTCTAATGTCCCCTCCCCCACAGTCACATCAGTCACTCTGTATCAGTCCAGAGGAGCTTACACTCTAATGTCCCCTCCCCCACAGTCCCATCAGTCTCTGTACCTGAGGAGCTTACACTCTAATGTCCCCCCCCCCACAGTCACATCAGTCTCTGTACAGAGGAGCTTACACTCTAATGTCCCCTCCCCCCACAGTCAGTCATCAGTCTCTGTACCAGAGGAGCTTACACTCTAATGTCCCCTCCCCCACAGTCACATCAGTCTCTGTACCAGAGGAGCTTACACTCTAATGTCCCCTCCCCCTCTGTACAGAGGAGCATATCAGTCTGTACCAGAGGAGCTTACGCTCCCCTAATGTCCCCAGAGGAGCTCCCCCCCTCCCCCACAGTCACATCAGTCTCTGTACCAGAGGAGCTTACACTCTAATGTCCCCTCCCCCACAGTCACATCAGTCTCTGTACCAGAGGAGTCTTACACTCTCTGTAAGAGGAGCTTACACTCTAATGTCCCCTCCCCCACAGTCACATCAGTCTCTGTACAGAGGAGCTTAATGTCCCCTCCCCCACAGTCTAGTCTCTGTACAGAGGAGCTTACACTCTAATGTCCCCTCCCCCACAGTCATATCAGTCCCAGAGGAGCTTACACTCTAATGTCCCCTCCCCCACAGTCCACATCAGTCTCTGTACCAGAGGAGCTTACACTCTAATGTCCCCTCCCCCACAGTCACATCAGTCTCTGTACAGAGGAGCTTACACTCTAATGTACAGTCAGTCTCTGTAGCTTACACTCTAATGTCCCCTCCCCCACACAGTCATATCAGTCTGTACCAGAGGAGCTTACACTCTAATGTCCCCTCCCCCACAGTCACATCAGTCTCTACCAGAGGAGCTTACACTCTAATATTCAGTTCTGTACTTACACTCTAATGTCCCTCCCCCACAGTTCATATCAGTCTGTACCAGAGGAGCTTACACTCTTTCCCGGGTTCTCCGTGGGCCCATCTCAGGCCGGTTGGGATAGTTTATGGGATTGTGTGGTCTCTGCAGATTTTCTCCCCTCGCTGATCTCCTCGGATTCCATTGTTTCGGATTGAACCTTGAAGTAATGTGCTGCCATTGTGACGGGGGCTCTGTGCCGGCTGTGCAGCCCATTCTTCTCCATGAAGAGCCATGTTAGGCTACAGGAGGCTCAGCGGAGGCGACCTGCCGAGACCTTCAATGGTCTTCAATGGACGGGAAGTCAGAGGAGTGCGGAGAAATGTCTCACTTATTGGGAGCAGAAGTTTCCCTTCATTTTCTGTAGAGGTGATAAATGGCCGCCACCTCCACATATGTTCTGCTCTTTCATTGCAGTAAAGCAGATAGTAAGCCTGACACCATGCCAAGGGGGCCCCGTCCATCATTTATCGATCTGTATTATGAACATTGCCTGAGGTTTCCCATCACTTCCTGTGCTGGTGACACTATGGCACACTCAGACACACGGTGTCACCGGGACAGGAAGTGAAGTGTTTGGCATATAGGGGGGAAATATCAATGAAACCTAAAAGATGTTCGGAACCTTTCCTGTGTTTGGCTGGACATGAGCAGCACAAGGGGAAGAGGCAGAAGTATTTAAAGGTCACTCTTCATGTAAAGTACTGCAAATCTAAAGGAAAAACATTTTTTTTTTTCATTTTATAAAGAAGCCGTTCATTTGTTCAAGTGGAAGGAATAGCACCCCATCACTGGTGTCAGTGGGAGGAATAGTGCCCCATCACTGGTGTCAGTGGGAGGAATAGTGCCCCATCACTGGTGTCAATGGGAGGAACGGTGCCCCATCATTGGTGTCAGTGGGAGGAACGGTGCCCCATCATTGGTGTCAGTGGGAGGAATAGTGCCCCATCATTGGTGTCAGTGGGAGGAATAGTGCCCCATCATTGGTGTCAGTGGGAGGAACGGTGCCCCATCATTGGTATCAGTGGGAGGAATAGTGCCCCATCATTGGTGTCAGTGGGAGGAATAGTGCCCCATCATTGGTGTCAGTGGGAGGAATAGTGCCCCATCATTGGTGTCAGTGGGAGGAACGGTGCCCCATCATTGGTATCAGTGGGAGGAATAGTGCCCCATCATTGGTGTCAGTGAGAGGAATAGTGCCCCATCATTGGTGTCAGTGGGAGGAATAGTGCCCCATCATTGGTGTCAGTGGGAGGAACGGTGCCCCATCATTGGTATCAGTGGGAGGAATAGTGCCCCATCATTGGTGTCAGTGGGAGGAATAGTGCCCCATCATTGGTGTCAGTGGGAGGAATAGTGCCCCATCATTGGTGTCAGTGAGAGGAATAGTGCCCCATCATTGGTGTCAGTGGGAGGAATAGTGCCCCATCATTGGTGTCAGTGGGAGGAATAGTGCCCCATCCTTGGTGTCAGTGGGAGGAATAGTGCCCCATCATTGGTATCAGTGGGAGGAATAATGTCCCATCATTGGTGTCAGTGGGAGGAATGTCGCCCCATCATTAGTGTCAGTGGGAGGAATAGTGCCCCATCATTGGTGTCAGTGGGAGGAATAGTGCCCCATCATTGGTGTCAGTGGGAGGAATAGTGTCCCATCATTGGTATCAGTGGGAGGAATAGTGCCCCATCATTGGTGTCAGTGGGAGGAATAGTGCCCCATCATTGGTGTCACTGGTAGGAATAGCGCCCCATCATTGGTGTCCGTGGGAGGAATAATGCCCCATCATTGGTGTCAGTGGGGGAATAATGCCCCATCATTGGTGTCTGTGGGAGGAATAGTGCCCCATCATTGGTGTCAGTGGGAGGGAATAGTGCCCCATCCTTGGTGTCAGTGGGAGGAATAGTGCCCCATCCTTGGTATCAGTGGAAGGAATAGTGTCCCCATCATTGGTGTCAGTGGGAGGAATAGTGTCCCCATCATTGGTGTCAGTGGGAGGAATAGTGCCCCATCATTGGTGTCAGTGGGAGGAATAGTGCCCCATCATTGGTGTCAGTGGGAGGAATAGTGCCCCATCATTGGTGTCAGTGGGAGGAATAGTGCTCCATCATTGGTGTCAGTGGGAGGAATAGTGCCCCATCATTGGTGTCTGTGGGAGGAATAGCGCCCCATCATTGGTGTCAGTGGGAGGAATAGTGCCCCATCATTGGTGTCACTGGTAGGAATGTTGTTCCATCATTGGTGTCTGTGAGAGGAATAGCAACCCATCATTGGATGAAATAGTGTCCCAAGGGCTGGACAGAGGTAGGCAAAGGGCCACATCTGGCCCCAGGGCTGCAGTTTGGAGAGCAGTGATATACAGCATTCATGGAATACACAGTGCACACAGCTAAATCTTCTCATCCATTTAGGGTTTAGATGAAGGTTCAGTAGAATTGCTCAGTGTGTAGCCGCCTTCAGATAAAAGCGTGAATAAGTCAGATCACCAGATTGGGCGGATTGTCCCGGCTGCTGTCTGGGGTCTGCTTCCCCTCGGGGTCCTGCTGTCCCTCTTCTCGGGGTCCTGCTGTCTCTTCTCGGGGTCCTGCTGTCCCTCTTCTCGGGGTCCTGCTGTCCCTCTTCTCGGGGTCCTGCTGTCCATCTTCTCGGGGTCCTGCTGTCCCTCTTCTCGGGGTCCTGCTGTCCCTCTTCTCGGGGTCTGGAACTCTTCTTTTTATTATTTGTGTCCATTTAAAGCTCGAAGGAGCGATGTGGAGGGTGTCGGAAGGCGGATTGCCCCCGCGCTCCCTTTCACTTCAAATACACGTTATTCAATGGGGGTTTGGGGGGGCGCAAGATGTCAGCGGAGACCCCTAGAGCGTGTGTCCGGGCCCAGGGAGCACGTGTGGGGGGCGCCGGGGTGATGTCTGCTTGTGAGAGCGCTGCGTTTGAGGATTAGCGGCGAAACATATTTAAAAGCACTGCAGCTACAGAAAATCTGCCTTTCCATTTTAAATCCCATCAAATCACGATAGCCGACAATCTGTTCTCCTTTCAGCACCTACTCGGCGTCCACCCCCCCACGGCTCGCCGCCGCCCATCCCCCCCCCCCCCCACCGCATCACAGGGAGAGGGCGACAGAAGATTCCGCACATCCAGGGTGTAAACAAGGAGAGCCAAGAGCGCTGTTGTCTTGTTAGTCTCTTTCTTCTTTCTTTCTTTATGTCTTTCTTTTTTTTTTTTTTTTTCCTTTTTTTCTTTTTCTCTTTCTTTCTTTCTTTCTTTCTATTCCTTTTACTCTTTCTTTCCTTTTCTACTTTTCCTTTTTTCTTTTCTTTTTTTTCTTTCTTTTTTTTTTCTTTTCCTTTTTTCTTACTTTCTTTCTTTTTCTTTCTTTCCTTTCTACTTTTCCTTTTTTTCTTTCCCTTTTTTTTCTTTTTTTCCTTATTTCTTTCTTTCTTTTCCTTTTTTCTTTTCTTTTTTTTTCTTTCTTTTTTTTTCTTTTCCTTTTATTCTTACTTTTTTTTTTCTTTCTTTTCTTTCTTTCTTTCTTTCTTTCTTTCTTTCATTTAATTTTCTATGTTTTTTTCCTCTTTTCCTTTCTTTCTGTTATTATTTTCATTTTTCCCTTCTATTTTTATTCTATTCAGCACAGTGGCTAAGTGGTTAGCACTTCCACCTGACAGTACTCAAGTCGTCAGTTCAAATCCCAACCACGGCACCACCTGCCTGGAGTTTGCATGTTCTCCCTGTGCCTGCGTGGGTTTCCTCCGGGTACTCCAGTTTCCTCCCACACTCCAAAGACATGCTGGGAGGTGAATTGGCTCCTGTCTAAATTGTCCCTAGTATGTGTATGTATGAATGTGAGTTAGGGACCTTAGATTGTACGCCCCTCGGGGGCGGGGACTGATGTGAATGTACAATATGTATGTAAAGCGCTGAGCAAATTGATGGCGCTATATAAGTACCTGAATAAATAATAATTATTTTCCTTCTTTTTTCTTTTCTCCCCCTTTACAATGTAATTAATTTCTTTATATGTTTACTCCCTTCTCTTTTATTTTCCTTCCTGCAAAATAAAGGAAAGGAGTACAAGGTGCTCTCTCTCTCTCTAGGGACCTTCTGTTTCTCCCCTTTTCTATTTAGCCTTAGATTGTACGCTTTTACTCCTCTCTTTCTAGTGCCTCCTTCCTCCTTTTCTCTCCTTCTCCCTTTCTTTTGAAGCCCTTCCTTTCATTTTCTAGTTGAAATTTTTTTTCTCTCTTCCTCCCTTTCTGTATTTCCTTCCTTGTTTCCTTCTATTTATTTTCTTTCTTTTCTTTCATCCTTCCTTCTTTCCTTCCTGCAAAATAAAGGAAAGGAGTAGAAGTATCTCTCTCTTTCTCTCTGCCTCCTCTCTTTCTAGTCCCCTCTCCCTCTCCTTCTCCCTTTCTTTTTCCCTTTCTATCATTTTCAGTTTCTTCCTCCCTTTTCTGTTATTTCCTTCTCCTGCAAAATAAAATAGAAGAGTAGAAGTAGCTCTCTCTTGTTTTCTTTCTAGCCCCCCCCCCCCTCCTCCTCACTCTCTCTCTCTTGCTCTGTCTTCTCCCTTTCCTCTGTTTCCATCACTCTCTCGCATTTTTCTGTCTCTTTCTCCTTGGCCCCCCCCCCCCCCCCCCCCCTATACAGTATATAATGTATACCTGACTTTCCATCTGTCCTCTGTCTTTTTTTCCTGATGTGTCACTTTTCTGTCCCTCTCTTTGTAAGAATATAAATGTGTATATATAATATATATCTGTCTTTCCATCTGTCCTGTCTGCTCTACTCTTCCTGCATATCACATGTCACGCTCTCTCCATCTCATATTTCTATCCCTTTCTGTCTCTCTCTCTATGACCTCTCCCTCTCTCCATCACTTTATATAGCAATGTATATATAATGTATACCTGTCTTCCCATCCGTCCCCCACATCTTCTTTCTCTCTCCTCTCCATGTTCCTTTCCTATCTCTCTCCATCTCTCTCTCTAGTTCTTCTTTCCCTGTTTTCTGTATCTCTTCCATAGTCCCTCTCTTTTTCTTATCTTCTCTTTCTCTCTGAC